AAAAAAAAATACATATGGTTCAGAACGGATTAACCGTAATTACATTGAACCTTATGGGAAATTTGATTCGGGACACAACCAAAATCGGGTCACGACCAAATTCGTAGGGGTCAGAACGGATTAACCGTATTTACATTGAACCTTATGGGAAATTTGATTCGGGACACAACCAAAATCGGGTCACGACCAAATTCGTAGGGGTCAGAACGGATTAACCGTATTTACATTGAACCTTATGGGAAATTTGATTCGGGACACAACCAAAATCGGGTCACGACCAAATTCGTAGGGGTCAGAACGGATTAACCGTATTTACATTGAACCTTATGGGAAAATTTGATTCAGGTCGCGACCAATTTGGGTTGCGACCAGAGTCACGGAACAAATTAAGTTCGTGAACCGAGGTACCACTGTAATTCATATTTTGACACTAGCTAGAATGTTTGCTCAACTCAAATTATTGGAACAGATCCTAAATTAGTCAAGTTTTAGTTCTTTTGCACTTGATGAGCTTAATGCACTCCTCATTTAGTCTGGATCCAACTCTATTGATACTTGTTGATTTGAGAATCTGATGTACTAACAACATCAAAGCCCAAACTCTCTACAGAAATCTGGGGTTTTCTAATTCTTCAGCTGTGTTGTATTATATCTGGAACAAACTAATTGTCTCTACTGCCTTTGACACAAGCCTTTTCTCTTCCATTCCTGCAGGATTCTCAGCCATCTCCACTAGCCCTGCTTGCAGCCACATGTAGCAAAATTGGCCCTCCAGCTGTAGAAGCAGCGATTACTTCTCCTGCCCCTCCTCAGCCTGCCCCTCGGAAATTGGTTCCTATTAAGCCTGCTCCGCTCCCCCTAAGTTCTAACAAGAACAGCATTGGAATCTTATCATCAAAAGGAAACCTCTTCCAAATTCAAGGTTCTCAACTGGGGACATCATATCCTGGTGGACAGCTGGTATTTACAATCCAGAACCCAGCTGTAATCAGCAAAGGAACGCGCTCTCCTGCCAATATCCAGTATCAGGCGGTACCACAGATCCAAACAGCATCAGGACAGACGATTCAGGTGCAGCAAAATTTGGGCAATCAAATACAGATTATTCCCAGCAATATCACCCCTTCCTCTTCTTCCTCTTCATCATCGTCGTCCTCTTCTTCAGCTCATAAGCCTGTGCCAATAAAGCCAGCTCCAGCTCATAAGTCATCAGCAGCCGCTCTCCACAACACAAGCAGTGTTGTCAAGTTAACTGGCACCAGTGGCAACGTCACTCTTACTCTTCCAGTGAGCAATCTTGTAACTGCTGGGGAGACTAGTACTCAGACTCAAGTTGTACCTGACAGCCCCTCTAAGCCAAGCAGAAAAACCCGAAAGAAAATGGTATCACAAGCTCAGACAACTGCAATGGCTGTGACAGAGCAAGTGGAAACAGTCTTAATAGAGACTACAGCTGACAACATCATCCAGGCAGGGAACAATCTGTTGATTGTGCAGAGTCCTGGCTCTGGGCAGCCAGCTGTGGTCCAACAGGTGCAAGTAGTTCAGCCCAAACAAGAGCAGCAGGTAGTTCAGATACCCCAGCAAGCCCTACGGGTAGTCCAGGCAGCCTCAGCCACACTCCCTACAGTTCCCCAAAAGTCCCAACAAAACTTCCAGATCCAGACAACGGAACCAATTCCCACTCAGGTATTTCATTGAAAGTTTTCCCCCTGGTTTTTTTGCTGCTTTTCTTTTTAAAAATGTTTTATCAGTTCAAACTATCATTGATGAAAGAGCCTCAGTTTGGAGTGACCAAGAAATACATAATGACTAGAATTCTTGGGTGCAAAGAGACTAGGAAAAAGCTCCAGTTCTTCTAATAGAAAAAAAATTACTTGTCCAATTAATTGTTTTCGTATAAATACATTATTTAAGTGTCAGTTTCCTATAAAAGCATTCAAGGCAATGATTGAATAAACAATGTGGCATGCATTTATCCTGATCTAGTGATTTGTAATTACTATGAAAACGGGGGGGGGGGAGTGGTTGGAAACCATACTTGGAGGTCAGGTTCTACATTCCTTCCACACACAAGTGCATCCTGTGATTCATTTTTGTGTCATTCTTTTAGGTCTATTTTAAGACGCCTTCTGGTGAGCTACAGACAGTACTACTCCAAGAAGCCCCAGGCGTAACTGTGGCCCCTTCCCCTGCGGTCTCCTCAGCCACAACCTGCAGCAGCCCTGTACCACGCAGTTCCCAGTCAGGGGGAAGTACCAAAAAGACAGGGGCTCGCAAAGAGCGTGCTCTGCCAAAGATTGCCCCTGCTGGAGGCATCATCAGCCTCAACGCAGCCCAGCTCGCTGCTGCTGCTCAGGCAATGCAAACTATCAGCATCAATGGTGTGCAAGTTCAGGGTGTTCCTGTTACCATCACCAATACTGGAGGTGGGATATATGATATAATGATCCTGTGATGTGCAATATTTAAATTTGTGGTATAATAGTATCTTGGTTTTTTAAATTGCTTGAAATGTTATCAGTAGCACGGAAAAATAAGGTATAAGTAGGGTTATGTATGTATGTATTTATTTACAGGAATTATACGGCCACTTATCATATAATGATTCTAGGCTGCTCACAACAATCTTAAAAACACAGATAAAAACAGAAGTACCCTTCCCCCCCAGGTGCCAGACCAAACAGCCTTCCAGCTCAACCCCCATCCTAGCCCAATGCTTGGGGAAACAGCCAGCTCTTCATAGCCCTCCAGAAAGCTAAAAAGGTAGGGATCCCTTGGATCTCAGGTTGGAGGCTATTCCAAAGGGCTAGGGGAGCCACCGAGAAGTCATGCCTCTGAGGTCCCATCAGGTGACAATATTTAAGGAAGGGGACCTGGAGTATGCCCACCCTATCTAACCTAGTAGGACAGGCAGATACCCTCAGGGAGAGGTGGTCCTGCAAATAACCTGGCCCTGTGCCATGTAGGGCTTTAAAGGAACACCCAGAAATCAACTGGGAACCAGTGCAGCTCATCCACCAGTGTTGTTACGTGGGTGAAATGCAGGGCACCAAGAACTGGGTATCAGTGAATGGACACACCTGAGGAGAAAAGCATTTTATGTTCATTTTAATTTTTACAGTCCCCAAAGACTTATTCTTGCTTCATTCTACTAATAGGTGGGTATGCCCAAATAAATGGCATATTTATATTGTTATGCTATCGTAACTAGGTACATGGCTTCCTGGCTTTCAGAGGCTGAGTAGAATTGGAATTTGTAGCTATACTCATTGCATTCTTTCTGCTCTGTATATTATTGGTTGTGGGGGAGATGGCAGTAAAGGATTCCACACTATCTTCCTGAGGCTTGAAGAGGTATGAAAGCCTTAGTTTTCATAATGTAGCAAAATGTGAAAATGTGTATTGGAGTGGGGCAATAATGTTGTTAAACAGGAACAATGAGGACTTGAAACTATGAGTAATATAAATGTAAGCAAGATGGGAGGAGAAATTGGGTGCCTGGACCCAGGCAGGAATGAAATTTTGGAACCTTGAATTTGAGTGTTATTTCAAGCCTTGTGCAATTCTGACATCCAAAAAGGCAAGGGGAGAAAATAGAACTCATATTACATAATATTTCAGCCTGACTATGCATGGAGCTTTACTGGAATAATTGAATCTTCATATTTTAACAATGGAAATTCCCAAGCCGTAGCTTCTGCATCCTCCTTTCTGCAGGCCAACAGCAGTTAACAGTGCAGAATGTTTCAGGCAACAATCTAACCATCAGTGGCCTGAGCCCTACTCAAATCCAATTGCAAATGGAACAAGCGCTCTTGGGGGACCTGCAGCCTGGGGAGAAGAGACGGCGAATGGCTTGCACCTGCCCTAATTGCAAGGATGGGGAGAAAAGGTAAAGTATGGGGGTTGGAAGCAAAAATAAGTGTCAAAGCCTTAAGGTTGCCAACAGCTTCAGTTCCTGCTTTGTCTAATTATTTATTTAATTCATACCCTTCCCCTCTTGCTATCAACAAATAGTATTCAGGACCTTATAATAATAAAAGCAGAATTTTTAAACAGTTAAAATAAACCCCCACTGAACAAACCAATTTTTATAGCAGAAGCCCTGTTTGTCTTTGTGATAAATGAAGTTTTCTTGAAGAGTCTACTTTAAAAATATTACTAATATTTGGGAGGGAGGTGAGTATACATAAATATCACAGTTAATACAGCATTAAGACTACTAATGGGCTTCAGGCATTCAAAAGTGTGTAGCCTCTATATGGAGGAGTTCAAAGAAATATGAGCACACTAACTTCATCTCCTGCCCATCACTGTTACTGCTTTCTGATGCATCTGAGGACCTCCATTATATAGTAAGATTTTGAACCTTGTGGAATCAGGATTTAAAATGCCAAGAGAAAGCCCCGTAAGGATGGTTTCCGATTCATTCACCCTTTACATGTAGAAGATTTAAAAAATGGACATTGTTAGTGCATATCTTCCTGTTCCATTTGTTGCCTATAAAAACTACATACTTTTGGACAGTAGCTTGTAGTACAGTGATTGATTTGTGAATGGTGAAAAGATGGATACTCCATCAAGCAAGAAACAAATATTTAAATATGAAAGAGATTCTGTAACAACGGTATTCAGTTACCCGGCTGTAAAAGTATGATCTGTGGAAAACTGTTCAGAGGAAAAGGTATTTTTGTGCTCTTCTCCAGAGATTGTTTGGAGTTATGTTTTTTTTCTGGCGGTCACAAGATTATTAAAAGTGACCACATGCAACAAATGAGTGCACAAATTTATTTGCAGCTGTTGAGCTTAGAAACCCCTTTCTAAGAACAAGACTGACGGTTCATACAGTGTCTTCAGCCTTTTAGGAATATAGCCACTGATGTTTGAATGTGTATTTCGTCTCCTATAATACTTTTTGCACTGTTTTTTTAGCATGAACAAATAAAATAACTGCATGAAGAAGAGACAGGGTTGTTCCCAAGTTGTTGATCTCTGAGAAAATTGAAATAATACTGAATTGTTGCTGGGAATAGTACAGAGATACTCACCTTCCTGGATGGGCAGTCCATAAAGGCCTTTGGACATTTGTTTTTGTATCAGACAGAAAGACTTGGAGCTTTGCTTTTTCTCACAACCCAGCTGATCAGCTTATTAAAAAGGATCAGCTCAGTGGCAGAAAACAAATTGTTCCTTTCTCTCTGCTCTTGGTAGTGATCTTGAGCAGTTTGAATTGAGAGGAATGAACCTACCTTCAGAAATCCTATAATTCTCTCTGTGGGTGATGTTTGAATAGGTGCAAACTTGCATGCATATGCACAGGTGCAACACTAACAATTGATGTGATCCTCAGGACTGAAAAGGCTGCATCTTCCTTGCTAAATTAGGCAGCAGGTCTGGTAAATGCCAGAATAACCAACGTCTGCTGTATTTTTATAAAAATTACTTGTGAATTATTGTTGGATCCTTTGTCAGAAACCATATGGGGTAGTCAATATGAAGTTAGTTTGCTGTTTTGAACAATTTGGAATGGTGCTGCTTCTTGAATCATCACTGGAGGATACAGTAATTGATCTGATCCCTGAGATGCCATCACAGTAAAATGGGTATCCATACCTTTATTAACCCAGACTAAGAACCTCCCCTTCCTTCTTTATAGGTTGGGGGATCAAGGAAAGAAGAGGCACATCTGCCATGTGCCTGAATGTGGGAAGACCTTCCGCAAAACTTCCCTTCTGCGGGCCCATGTGCGTCTGCACACAGGCGAGAGGCCATTTGTCTGCAACTGGGTCTATTGTGGAAAGCGATTCACACGCAGTGATGAGCTGCAACGGCATGCCCGAACGCATACAGGTCTGTCAAGTCATTTCTCTGTGTCTCTTCTGCTGCATGCTAGCTGTAGTTCTACCCATATAATGGATGGGGGGGGGGGGAATTGAATACTAAAAGACTTGATTTCAAGAAAAAAAGAAATCATTTAAGTTAATTTATATAAGTCAATTTATATGGCCACCCATCTCTCAAACAGTGATTCTGCGTGGCTAACAGAATTGAAAACACAATAAAATGAGTCATAATAATATACATAAAATCAAGAAAACAACAGTGGAATCCATTCATGAGGCCCCCTTAACTTTTTGACCTCCATGCTTGGGAAAGCAGCCATGTTTTTAAGGGATACCAGCAGAGTTGGATCTTGGGGAGTGTGATGTTCTATGGGGCAGGTTCTGCACCAAAAATGCCTGCCCCCTGATCCTATCTGATGACGTCCTGTAATAAACAGGACCGGAGCATGCCTCTTCTATTATACTAGCAGGTAGAAATAATCAGAGAGAGCCAGTCCTGCAAATAACCTAGTCCTGTGCCATGAACAGCTTTATAGATGACAATTAGCACCTTGAATTGTTCTTGGAAGCACGCTAGAAGCTAGTGCACCCCACAGCACAAGTCTAGCAATGTCATACCCTACTTCTTAATAATGTATATAATGAGTATTTTCCCAATAATTTTTAAATGGTCCTTCCACATAGGAAGTGAGATACCAGAAGATTAGTCTTGTTTTCTTCTTCCATGCTTACTTTTGTTGTGCTGGTATTTGCATTTTTGTGTGGAGGAGCACATCAGTATGAGATATACCTTGCAGGCTGGTATGATACAGAGGTTTCCGTGCTGCTAGTTCAACCACTTGTTTGTTAGAACCAGGGTCTTCCTGGTTAAAGAGGCCAAGGAGGTGACTTGTAGTTGGGTCCATGCTGTGGTGGCGATTTCTTTGAGGCTGGGGGTGGTTACCTTCAGCCTTAAAGTAGGCAATGGTGTGCCCCCTTCCTCAAGAGGCCAGCCTTGGACCCAACAGTTTAAGACGTCTTGTCCTGTTTTGTCTTGTCTTGTCTCCAACCTTCCCTTTTTAAGGAAGGTTGTTGAGATGGTGGCCATACTGCAGTTGCAGAAGACCCTGGAGGAAGAAGATTATCTAGACCCATTTCAGTTGGGTTTCAGGCTAGGGTTTAATACAGTGACAGCCTTGGTCACACTTGTAGATGACTTGTGGTAGAGCTGGGATGGAGATGGTGCATCCATTCTTGTGCTTCTTGATCTTAGTGGCTTTCAATATCATTGATCATGGCCTGCTTCTGGACCAGCTTTGGAAGTTGGTGGCACTGTTTTACACTGGTTCTCCTCCTTCCTTTGGAGCCTGTTCCAGTTGTTGTTGACTGATGGGGACAGGTCGCTCCCTAGGCCCCTCCTTTGTGGGGTGCCATGTGGATCAATGTTCTCTCACCTTTTGTTGAGCATGTATATGAAACCACAGGGTGAGGTCATCTCTAGGTTTGGGGTTTGGTATCATCAGTACCCTGATGATACCCAGTTATATCTGTCAGTCTCAAGCTGGCCAAGTGAGAATGTCAAGATTCTGCTCAGTGGCTGTGGATGTTAGGGCCACCTGAATCTGGGAATATTCCATCTTTAATCTTGGACGGATTTGCACTTCCCCATTCAAGAGTGGTACCCACTCTGGGGGTCTTCCTGAACTCACAGCTCCTGCTCAATGAGCAGATGGCAGCTGTAACCAGGAAGGCCTTTGCATAACTCCATCTGGTGCACCAGTTGCATCCATTTCTGGATCAGGAAGCCCTTCAGACAGTCGCCCATGCCTAGTTACCTCATGGCTCAACTATTGCCATGTGCTGCACATGGGCTACCCTTGAAGTCCACTCTAAAGCTTTAAATGGTCTGGAATGGAACATTGGTAGGCTCGCAGCTAGAATTCATATCCTCTAGCCTATGCCAACTTTAGCATTCTCCCCTCTTATGTTATGACCGGTTCATTTAAGTTTTAATAATTCAATTGTCCCATTTTGGTACTGACACTTTCAGCTTTCTTTGGTTGCAGTGGCTATCATTCCAGCTCCAAGTTCATAAAATATTGTCTTAAGCTTTGCTAGAAAGTCAAACAGTTCAATCTGAGGGAAGAATTGTCTCAGTGTTGAATCAGATTAATGTCTACATTCTGCTTTTAAAAGTGGTTTATCGGATGCCTGCAGGTAGAACGTGAAGAACAAGGGCCTCCATCCTTGCCATGCATTTTTACATGGGTTTACATTTAATTTTATCATGTACCTAATGTTTTTTTTAAAGCAATACATGTAAGCTGTGTGTGCATTATATTTTGTCAGTGACTTTCATGTGTTCATGTGTATAATGTATGGCCCTTGTCATGTGTGCTCACTGTTCTTGTTCCTTTCTCTGGCCAGGTGACAAACGTTTTGAGTGTGCCCAGTGCCAAAAGCGCTTCATTAGGAGTGATCATCTGACAAAGCACTATAAAACCCACTTGGTCACCAAGAACTTGTAGGGCTGGATGCAAGCAGGAAAAGCGAGGAAGCGGTATGGGTGTTTTTCACCCCTCATCATGAGAGATGGTCTCTGCAAAGGACAGAAAGAATGCCCAGATAATTGTCCTGATTGTGTGACAGCTTTCCCAGCCACATCTGCCCAAGGAAAAATGTAATGGCCGCTGCTCCTTCAAGCAAACTGCCTTCACACTGGCACACTCCTTTGGAACTTCTTGGAAAATGCATCAGACTTCCAGGCTTGAACCTGAGATGAAGGAGGAGCAACACCATCTCCAAATAAGCTAAAATCAGCACAAGCCCAGTAGCAGACCTGGAAAAGGACGGGGGGAAAGCAAGGCAAAACCCATTTATGCACCTTCCTCAGGAGCCTGCAGAGCCAGTGCCCTACTCTGCTGCACCAAAGGGCCTCCTTATGGGTTTGAGAGTAGCACCAGCGAAATTACCCCACTTGTAATTTTGGTTCCTCTTCCCACTCACTCCCATGTGCTTGTGAAGCTTTTGAATGAGGGGCAGGGAAACCATCCAAAATGGGACTCTGTCCCCCTAGCACATTCCTACTTTATATTTAAAAAACTATAAATATCTATAAATATATATCTATATATTAAAAAAAAAAAAAACCTACC